AGATCTGCTGTGTAGGAGCAGAGGCTATAATTTAATGTTGAGATGCAGACAAACAGTTTTATACAGAGGTCTGACATGGGATACCTATTGATTGTGTCAAATACATATAGGAGCTAAATGGCTGGAAAAGCTACAAACCATCTACCGGAATACAAGAAAAGAGCATCTTGTGCAAACTTCGTGCACAAGTAACATTAACATCTTCCCAGATTTCTGGGGCCAGCAACAGAATCAATTCCAGATTAGCCAGACTTCTCCAGCCTTTTCAAATCAGATAGGATACACATTTTTAGACAAAAAGAAAGAAATTCCATTTTTAAAGCTCTCTGCTTTGAAGATAATCTGGGACCATGCTATCTGATGACTATATTACTGCTGTGCAGACCCAGTGTGTGGAGTGGGGCTGTGATTTATAGACAGTCTAATTAGTCATAATAGGATAACATCCTTCTTCCCCATGCCGCTGGCAAGGATCTGGACGTTAGCAGGTTAAGGTATTCTGAGAAGTTATGAGATAGCCAAACGGTTCTCACTAGTCTTTAGAGTTACTATAATTCTGGTTAATTAAAATTCTCAGCGCTCCCAAGACTATGATGGGAATGTCCCTTTCAACAGTCACTACATGAGGAATTGTCAAACCTTTTCTATGATGGCATTTATCAAGTGGCCACAGAGCTGTTTTCTCTGAACACGCAGTTAAATTCAGCGTACGTCTTTACGCATATGTGTGACAGACAACCCCGTTCTACATCCAAGCATGTGTGGTGAATCAGTGAACAGTGCTATGCCTGATCCCACTTCCTCCAGGAAGCTGTCCCCTTATTTATGGTTCTAGGCCACGGAGATCACCTCCTTCTCAGAACAACTGTGGCATCTGTTTTCTCTACTGCTTCTCCTGCAATTTGGTCATTTACTCTTAACCTATTTATTTCACATGCACATCCCTCACCTCTCTAGTTGAACTTAAACTTCCTTTTTCTGGACGCTGCAGGGTCATAGAATATAATGATCGCGTTACATAAACATGGGTTCCCCTGGCGAAAATATTTGCAAGACTTCCTGTGCAAACTCTATTTTCACAAAATATAAATGGTTAATTTCCAAGCATAGAGCAGTAAGTCCTAGGAATGTGCAGCCTCTCCTACTGTCTCAAATAGTTGAGAAAATCAGGTTATCAAGCAAAAGAAGAGCTTAATTTTTGGCTATTTCTGAGTAAGCAAGCATTCAAAACCCTAATCAGTTTAAGTAGATAACATTCCCACACCACCGAGGCCTCTGGAAGAACACAGAGCCATTGTGTACAAACCTAAATTAATCACCTAAGAGAAAACATCTGAAGATACGAGCGGCCGGCCAGGGAAGTGGGAAAATAAACAACTCAGCGAAGACACTGAAATCCATTTAACTGTTGAACTCCAAATAAGACACTCAGTACTGTATTGATGGCAATGAGGTTACAAAATGACGAACAATCTGCTGCATTAACATTTACTCATCCTATCTGGAGACTATAGGACATTCTGTCAATGAATCACATCTCCGTGGAAAGCAGGACTTGGCCAAAAGAGATCTGGCAATTTATCCTGGAGATATTCCAGTTTCCATTGGTGGACTCTAAATAGCCAACATGTCAGAGTGTTCCTCAAGGAGATGTGGTTAAGACATGTCTCAGAAACAAGGATTTCCAAATTTCAAAGGCCGTGACACTCTGTCCCAGTTAGGTAACTTTAATTCTCTCTGGGTTATGTGGCTCCTATTATCCTATTTTCAAAAACAAGTCAAAATTCATTTAATTTGTAGACATTTGAGAATAGCAAAACAGCAAAATAACTCCGATGAAATTGAAGACCTCGCCCAGTAGCAGGCTTGGGTTTTGAGACACTAGATTTAAATTCTATGATTATGAACCCTTCACTCATTTTGCATTTACACCCAATTAGCATGTCTAGGACTCGGGTACTCTGAGAATGTGTGGGAGGTGGTGGCATTTGAGGAAGACCAATTTCTCTTACTGACGTGCCAGCCAAGAATAAATGTCTTTGTTATCTGACCTTGGATAAGAACATGGAACCAGATCTGAAATCCTAGCTCAGTTAAGGTCTAGGCCTTTCACATCATTAAACTGATTACTTTAACATCACTTCCAAGACAATAAGAGGAAGTTTAAAATTTCCTCTTTCCGTGGGAGGAAGGACCTCTCCTTGCTCATGCTATGTGAACCTGAAATATTTATGCTCAAGAGGAGAAAAGATAGATCTCCAATTTTTTTTAAAAGGATATAACACTAAATCATTTAGCTATCCCCCTAGATTTCAAGAGCCCTCCTGAACCCATTCAATCATTACAGTCTTTGGAAATGCAAATTCAGAATGGTTTAACCTATAGCTTGCCAGTATTTTATCTTAAACAGTCTGTATTTAATAGTAACATAAAAAATCCAAAGTGGGCAATGGAGGAGACTGAGTGTTGAGGGAGCAGAGTCGGGCCAGGAAAGACCATGAAGGTCCTGGAGCCGGATGTCTGATTCACTTTGCTGGGAAAGCTCGAGGCTTAGCAAGGGGGAGAACAGAATTTCACACCTTCCACCCCAGTCCCAGTGGGAGCTCTGCGGTTTTCCAATTTCAAGGCTTAGGTTGGTCAGAGGAGGAGGCAACCTGGAACCCGTATCACGAGAGAGCAGTGCGATCTAAGGGCAGGTCTTGACCCCTTCAAGGCTCTCCTGCCCTCGACCTTCCCTAGCCAAGGCAGACGCAGGCCCTACGACACGTCCCCACGTCACCATAAACACAGACCTGGCCTCAGCCGAGCGCATCAGCCACAGCAAGGGTGCCTCGAGGTGCAATTCTGAAACAAAATGTTGAAAGACCCTTTTCTCTTTGGGTTGGGTGCTAGGTGCTGCTGTCACTCAGTTTTCCCCCTGCCTTCTCTGAAGATCTTTAACCGACTCTGAACTGAAGTGGGCCAAGCCTCTGACTAGCCGTCATCAAGTCACAAAGTCAGCGGAAAATATTTGGAAAGCTGTATCTGGATAAGTCTACCTTGTTCTACATTATGGGTGGGTTTTTGGTAAAAATTAAAATGAATCAGGCTAGAAAATACATGTACAGAATAGGAAGCCTGAAAAACACCAAAGCCTTATGGGTGGAGTCCCTCTGGGGTCTTCAGCTGCTGGATGGGAGTGGAAATCAAGAGTTGGTGGAATGGACCCTGTTCTCTCTAAGAGAGTAAGAAACTCTGCCTGCTCCTCTCCACATACCGATGCTTTCAGTTACACAGAGAAGGGCGGGCCCGGTGGCACAGTGGTTAAGTCCGCACGCTCCACTTTGGTGGGCTGGGGCTCACAGGTTCAGATCCCACGTGCAGACCAAGCAGCACTCATCAAGCCATGCTGTGGCAGCATCCCACATAAAAGAGAGGAAGATGGGCACAGATGTTAGCTCAGGGCCAATCTTCCTCACCAAAGAAAAAGAAACAGAGTAGTGTTGATTTAGGCCTTCATTTCCTCTTTATTGACATCTGAAAGTTCTATTTTTTATAGTTTTAAGGATTTCTTGGTTAGTTCAGTGTGCTTACGTGTATAATTCAAGTTAGACCAAAAATGAGAAAATCTTTGTGGTATGAGCATACTTGCCTCTACTCTAAAATAACTCCTGAGAATGCACACTAGAACTAGCTAGAAAAAATTCTCAAGTAAGAGGATAAACAGAGCGTGAAGATGAATTATAGTTGATAAAGTTGATAATGAGAGAAATAAAAATGGTTTCACATACTTCATTTATTCGAAATTTATCCAGCTAATACCAGTGCCACCAACTGTGAGCATATTTTTTAAAAGAAAAATGTTGGTACTTCAGCAAGTAGCTAAAAAGAAACGAAACAATTTTCTGGAAGTAGAATTTGCTGAATTTCAAAAGTGTGAGCCTGTGACTCCACAAGCTTTCGACAGGCCATGAGCGAGAAAATTCGAACGCTGGCCCAGCTGGCCCGTTCGGCTTCCTGAAGGCAGGTAGTGGTCCCCGGGGCTCGCTCCCTTCCACTCGGGGCTCGCTCCCTTCCACTCGGCCTCAACCTGCTGTGCTCCCACACCGCATGTTTGTTGGCCATGCTGTCTCACTGCCACACCTGGTTTCCATGGTGACACCAGGCAGTTCAGGATGCTGCCCTGTCTCGGGGTCAAAACCAGACAAGCACCTTCGCTCCAAACAACTGAAATGCACAGATAGGACTTGTCTTCCAGAGAAAAAGATCTTTATCTAGACCCAGAGTTCTTAAATGAGAGAGAGGGGAGCACTTGCTAGAAAAAAATTTTAATTTTACATCTGGCAAACAATAAATATTCACCGTTTTTGTAAATAAATCCAGACAAGTATGTTATGAATTAAAAATTGTTTTGGTGTCAGCCTAGTGGTGTAGTGGTTAAGTTCGCATGCTCCACTTTGGCAGCTCAGGGTTTCTGGATTTGGATCCCGGGCCTGGACCTACGCACCACTCATCAAGCCATGCTGTGGTGGCTTCCTACACACAAAAAGAGGAACACTGGCATAGATGTTAGCTCAGGGCCAATCTTCCTCACCAAAAAAAAAAAAGTTTAAAAATACTAAATTTGAACAGAAGGCCCTCAAGTGCAATAGAAACTTTTCTTTTTTCAGAAAAATATTTAGCTCTTATATATTAATTCCAAAGAATACTATTGACTCAACAGATTTTCTGCCAATATACTTGTTCCCTCTGGAGTTAAAAAAGGAAAATAAACTAAATCTCTTTTTCTACATTAATTGCCACTAATTATTACAATCTTTGGGAAATAGCTGTTAAGATTCCTGAGAAATACTGTTAAGCCTGGCTCTACTTCATTTGTATTGCTCTGGGGAAATTATTAAAATAGTAATAAGGCTTCAACATGAATTGTCGATTATTCAGTTAATTTTAATGTAGCTTCTAGTGATTTCCACGTTGATGGCGATTCAAAAGGAATTATCACTTAAGTTTTGGCCACTCACCTTTTGTCCCTTCACTCCATGACAGTCACACTTTCCGCAGCCAGAGCCAGCACAACCACCCTGGAAATAAGAGAAAACATCTTTAAATAGAAGAATACTTGCAAGTTAAGGTCAATATTTGAAGCGAAATGATTTTGGCGTCTTCACCTATTTATGGGAGAAGTCCTGGCCTGTTATTATGAGCACAGTCTTAAAATAAGTAATATCTGGATTTGTTCTAATGGGGTTGCCACGTACTTATCTGACGGCCCACATCTCTAACTCTAACAGACAAAACCACAGTCCTGGAGTAGAACATATCAGACCAACACTTAGTCCAAAAAGCGAAGGATGTCGCTTATACGTTTTGAAGTTGACTCTCCAAGTGATTACGTTACAAGACGTCGTCCATAATTGCAAGGCTACGAAAATGTCACACTTCTGATTGAGGAGTTTCAGACCCGAGACCAGGGGAGACAGGGCCCAGCAGAGTCCATGCTTTGTCCTTCGAATTCCCGGGGACACACAGGCATGCAAAAAATGTTCGTGCAAAGAGGAAATACATAAAGGGGCTGATTTTTAAGCCTAAACCTTAAAGAACTGATTTTTTAATCCAATTAAAGCTTGAATGTTCAACAAAGAACACATAAATTAATGTTAAAAATGCAAGGGAAAGAAGCCAAGCACATAATAAAAGCTGGAGAAGGGAACTAAGGTGTTCGAAAGCCCACGAGGTGCCCCTGACAATCAGCCATCATCTTATTTAATAATCCTAACAATTGTTTTGAGAGGAGTGTTACCATCCCCACTTTACGGGTATGAAAACTGAATTAGGAGGTTTAATGTAATGCTAGGACAAGGTTGAAATTAGAACCCAACTTCAACTTCCATTACATAAAGTTGCCAACACGTTAAAAGATAAACATGATGGTTCCTATACACATTTGCAATTTCCTTAGAAAAACTCAAATTTAAACCAATGTAGACATAAGTATTATGGACAGAATGTAAGGCAGAATGATGGAGAAATTTAATTATCTTTCTTAGAGGCTCTGTATTAAGTCTGAGATAAAATGCATACCTAAATTCTGCTTCAGGTGACAACAGTTTCCTGAAAATACAGCCACGCTATTAATAGCACTGTGAGCACATGACGTCTATATTTTTAACAGTATACTCAAGTCTCAGCGCCATCGCCATGGAGATCTTCTGCATAAAACAACTGCATCTGGAGATATTTATTTTATAAAGTGAAGTCTGAACAAGTCCCTCTAAGACAGTAAGCTGGTCTTAATTTCATATTTTGGAAATGGGGACAACTGACAACGGTCCAAACAGGCTCCAGAGATTACGGATCTGTTTCTTTCCCTGACTCACATTTTAGGCAATTTTCAGCATGCACTCTCATAACCTCCTAACATTTTAAATCAATCCACGTGCACAGTTTCGCTTGACAATCTGTGAAGCACGAGTGGTTCTGGCGACCACGCAGAGATGAGGCCCAAATCTCACACCTGTGCTCCAGAAGGTTCATCCAAGACGTACAGACACAAGGCCGGTGAGACTGAAGAGACAGGCCTCACTCAACATCACCACTCCTGTCTAATCTCCAGGTGAGGGGTGACTGCTCCCACGTGGGTCCCAGAACACACCCCTACTGTGGCCCTCACCACACATCTCGGACGGCCCTGTGCTCATGTGTCTCTCCAGCACCCGCGAGGGGCAGCGCCAGAGTCCGGCACCAAGCCTCATGTAGACTGTATTTTGTCTGAGACTACGCTGGTTGTAACCCACACCAGGAAAGAATAGCGCTGATTAAACAATGACACATCACCACCTGTTAGATCTACCCCAATTTCAGAGTTGTCAAAACATTAATAAACGGGCATATAGATGCAATAGAGTACTCGGTACTGGGTTCCTACGGCTTTGTGGGTGGCAGTGGTGTTGCCCGTTTGATCAACCTTAAATAACACCCCAAGATAACAATCCAATGGCAGTGGGATGTCAGCTCACAACACATTACTGGGTAACAGCCCTGGGGGAAACACTCCACAGAGAGAACTCAGCAATGATTGTGGGACCGGTCCACATCGCCAGACCAGCCAGGGAGGCGGGGCGGGTCTCGGGGGTGCACGGATGCCCGGAGCTGCTGGGTTAGCCCCCAGAGCAGGAAAGCCCCACAGGTGAGGCTCCAAGTACCCGAGGTTCCGGGTCCACCTGCTCCCCATCCCATTGCCCCCACTTTCCTGCTTCTGAGCCAGGTCCAGAAACACACCTCTGCTCTTTCAACTCCGCTAACTCCACTCCACTCCTGTGATGCCAGAAGGAAAAGTCAACCAGGCAAAGACTCTTTCATTTGCACGTCCATGTAGGAAATGTCACCCATCAACCAGGCTCAGCTGGCAGAAACCCAACAGTGGCCTGAAGCAGTCTGGGCTTTCCTGCTCACAGTTCAACACGGTTTCTTCAAAACTTAGGTGAGGCACAGAATCAAACAACTGAAGCTGAAATGGCTATTTGGTGATTCTGGGTCTCCTCTTCTGAGATGCTGATAAAATTTCAGAAGCTTATCTTTATCCAATTTGAGGGAGGTTATAAAAATGAATTTCCTGGACCTGTTCCCTTAAGCTGTCGGTAAACGCCTTAATTGTAGGACATCCCAGATAAGAGGTGAGAGGGCCCCCACTGTGGATGTTGGGGTCAAGCTGCTTCCTGAGTCTTCGCTCTAGAAACACACCTGGCGCGTGTGGGCAACAAATGACCACTTTTGCTTTGGGCAAGATTACAGGTCACGACAACCCTTGGAGAATCGGACAGGAAATAAAGGACGAGAGCCTTTATTACAGACCGTATTACAGAAAGAAAGGACCCTCACCCTGCCCCAACCAGCTTATACTGTAAGTCAAGCAAACATTTAAAAAATAAATATCCCAGGGCTGGCCCCGTGGCCGAGTGGTTAAGTTCGCGCGCTCCGCTGCAGGCGGCCCAGTGTTTCGTCGGTTCGAATCCTGGGCGCGGACATGGCACTGCTCGTCAGACCACGCTGGGGCGGCGTCCCGCATGCCACAACTAGAGGAACCCACAACGAAGAATACACAACTATGTACCGGGGGGCTTTGGGGAGAAAAAGGAAAAAATAAAATCTTAAAAATAAATAAATAAATAAATATCCCAGACTAAAGACGTTCTTGGCTCCTTACCTCCTTTATTCACATAGAAAATCTTATTACCAATTCTGGCCCTAGAAGGCAATCCAAAGAATTGATAATTCTAAGAATATCTAAATTACGGTTAGCTTTTCAGACAAAAGGCATTTTTAGACCATGATTTTTGTTTCCCATTCTGGGTGGCCTAGCATTTTATGTAAATGGCTCTGCTAAAAAAAAAAAAAAAAAAACCTAATTTTAAGACTAACAAAGCAAAATCATGAGACACACATTTACTTTGCTAAATGAAATCTATTTTGAAATATCACTCTTCTGGTCCTTTACAATTGCTGTCAATAACGGCCCATGCTGGGTTTCACACTGGCACACGGAGGTGTCTCAGCTGTGATTCAAGCGTACACTCCTAAAAAGAAGACCAATGATGCTCTGAGTTAACCTTCTCAATCAAGTATAACTGATGACTTTGAAACAGCTAATTGAAATAAAATCTTTACATAATGCAAGTCGCAACCCTCAATGACTACATTTGAAAGGGCACATAAACTATCTGAGGTACTCAGATTCACAATTTCATTGGTGATCTAATATGTTAAAGGCTATGTCACAAGTTTCACAACTTCCTGAGAAATTACATTTTGCATCTAGACGCCTCAGCAAAATCAAAAGATATACGTGGTCTCACAGACTCAAACAGCTCCCTACTGGCAGCACATCTGACGGGTTTACCAGGGCTGCTCCTTTTGCCTGATGTCTGGAATATATTGGGCCCCGTCAACTAGCTCCCAGCCCATCTGTTGCAGATTCTGGAGCAGGAAGAACTTGTCCATTCTGGGAAGTACTCGCACTTTTTTCCTGCCTTCCCCTCAGTGGAGTGCTGGCATCGAGTAAATTAGATCCAGGTCCCCAGAGCAATGCCCTGCCTCTTCCCATGAGGCACACACTTGACTCACATAGTCACCGCTGACGACGTTGGTCATGGAGACAGGCTGCACTTGGAAACAGGGAATGTGGGGAACGGTTCCAAAGGTCAAAAAGTTGTGGGTCTTGGTCTCTCTTACAGCAGGAGACCATCTACGGCCAACAGCTACATGGGTCACCAGACCACTGGGGAAAGAGAAGCCTAGAAAGCTCTCAGGGGGAAAACCATCACTGCTTATACCCCCAAAACTGTAGGAAACTTAATGAAAACCAAGTCAATCTTGGCAGTCCTTTTAGCCTCTTCCCTCTACCCTCTTTAGACCATACAGCCAACAATTTACCACAAGAGTATAATGGAAACTGAAGTGAATTAACTGTATTTGAATCAGAAAAAAATACATCAGTTCTCAATGAAGTCTGTCAGACACACACACACCCGCAACTCCAACAGCGGGGATCAACTTGAAACACAAACAAATAATACAATTGAAAGGAATGCAAAAGGTAAATCAAAGTATCCCCAAATCAAATATCTTTTATATTCTATATGAGTCTCTTTATACTTTTCAGGATATAATAAAACAATTAATGTTATTCCATTTTCTTTCATGCCCCAATTAAAGATTTCCAGAGCATCGAACCATCCCCATTAATGCTATAAAGTATGTTACATACTAAAAATTCCCAAAGATTTATGATATACAGCACTGGTGCCAAAGAAGGAAGGCGGAGGACGGAGGTCAGGGACTTTACTTGAAATGAAGCCTATTTCCGGTCCTTCTCTGATCTACAGACCAACAGGGAGCTCTTCTCGACATTAAAGTGAGTTCCACGTGGGGACGCAGGAAGGGGAAGGCTCCCTGATTCTGCTTAGAGATTGCCTTTTTACTGAAGCAAATGACGCCAACTGCTGTGCTGTGTGTGCGCGTGAAAGAGAGACAGAGAGAGAGAGAGAGCGGGAGGGGGAGCAAGGGCATAAGGACGTCGCACTCT